CTTATATAAATGTGTGTGGCATGTTGATTGTAGCATGTAATGGTGTTTTTTCAACATCCAGCTCGTATGCGGTTGAACGCGAACGCAAGCATGGTGAGGCGTTGAGCTGCGACGCGTCGCGCCATAGCATTAGAAAATCAGATTCTTGGCACCAATTCAACATTAAATTGATTTCGCACAAAGCTCTACGAGCGGTGCGATTCATTTTCGCTTTTGTTGTTGCTGCTGTTTTTGTATTGCCTATAGCGAATTGTGCATGTTCACGCCACCATGTGGCAAGCGCCTGTCGTTGTCGGCCGATTTGGGCTTGCCGCCGTTGCTGTCTCGTTGTTTGCATGCATTTCCACTGCTATCTGCATCAATTTATCTCGCCACTATTCGGGCTTGAATGCGCTTTATTTTGCACTTCCGTGCGACTTTTAGGCTGAGTTAATTTTTTTTTTGGATATTTAGATGATTTTTTTCTTCGCTTGCCAGACAATTTCATAATGGCTGAAATTGTTGGAAATTAATTGCATGTTTCTATTGAAAGCATTTAGACTTTATAAATATTTGTAGTTAACTCCGTGTTCAAAGTTTATTAAAGAGTTGATTTTGCAAATTTTTATTATATAGCCGATATCGTGAAATAAAATTTAAAAAAAAAATGTTCAAACAACTATTTTTTAATTTTTTCAAATTTAATTTTTACAATTTCAAAATTTTTTTTTTATTTATATTTTATTTATATATTTTGTATTTTATTGAAAATTTCGCAAAAAAATTATTGCAGTTTTTTGCAAATTATTTAAATTTTTATTTAAAGATTGCAGAGAACAGAAAGTAGAAAAAATTGTGGTTGCCTTAAGTTTTTATTTCAGGGGTATTCTGTTCTAAAAGCATGGTCAGGTAATGTTTGAAAAGTCGTAAAAAAAAATTAATATTTTAAATATTCATATTTATATTAACTATTTGTTAAACTTACAAAAAATAAAGGGAAAAAAAATTATAAAGTTAAAAATTTCAAAAATTAGCAGCTGATGAAGTGGGTGTCTCAAGGACGTGACCATATCCACGATAATCTAAAATAATGTTCTACGAAAAAGTGGGAAACATGCTTTCCACGAAATGGCGTTTGCCTAAAAAAAACACTTTTTCAGTTTGGATGCCGCGTCGGACAAATACTTATACTTCCAAAAATAATTTAAATATTAAAAAATTCTCTTGTAGACAAAAAATGGATTTTTTTTATTTCTTGACCATAATAATTCTTTAAACTTTATAATTTTTTTATATTATATTTGATAGCAGCTTTCGTAAAATAAAATAGTAAAATATATGAAACTAATTTTTAAAAATAATTTTTATTTTAAATTTTGACATTATTTCTTCTTATTCAAACAAATTTTTTAGTCTTTAAAATTTTTTATTCAAAATTAATTTTATAATTTTTTGTATCTTGGTTATTTGTACTATTTTTATTATTAGATTTTATTTGTATTATTATTTTCTTAAATTTTTTTTAACACGTTAAAACTTTCCTACTGAATATCTTCTTTTAAAATGATATATTTGTATATTTATATATATATATGTGTGTCCTTTTCTCAATTTTTTCCGATCTCATCCCTCCTCTTCATTCTCTCTTACTATATGCGCATGTCGTTGGAGCGTAAAAAAATTGCCTCCACGGCCAATTAAATTGAATTTCAATTTATGGCCACAAACAGCGAGTCAAAGAAAAATCGTTATGCTTTTGAATGCAAATTTATTTTTAAAAGGTCAAACTACAATGCGAAGTATATCAGTGTTTGTATAAATGTGTGTTCATAATTGTTTTAAATAGAGATAAAGAGTAGCATATACCCATTAGGGAGATTAAGATAAAAATAGAAATTGCAATAGAGAAGGATAAGAAGAGAGTGATGAGAGGAATATAAATAAAGAGATAGATATAGTTATGGAGTTTAGGTTGGTATAGAGATGGAGAGAGATAGTTGTAGAGATTTAGTAGATATGGAGATAAAAAGACATAGAGAGATAGTGATAAAAATATAGACTGAGATTGAGAGTGTTGTACTTGGAGATAGAGTCAGAGATCTTGGCGGTTATATCATAAGTGCGTTGGCAAGGGCGCCTTGTATCAGAATGAAAATTCATTAGTTACTTATGTTCAACTAAAGTTATCATTATCGAATATTTGACTATTTGTATGCAGTCTAAGTTAATAATTTTGTGTTTGGAAATGTTCTATAAAGGTTTCAAAATACTGAAACAGGAAGTGCCTTATTGCGGCACCACAATAACCTTCCTTAAAAGGCTTTCGGCATATTAAGCTTCTGACATATCAGAAGTTCAAGAGTAACACTCTAAATATTTTGGGTTGAATTGTATATAAAAAAAGCTTGCAATCAAGCAGGCACCCCCAGGAACTAAGGATATGTTCGGAATGCATTGTTGCGATGAAAGTGATTCTCAGTCAATTTTCAATTAACTCAAAACACTTATCAACGAGTATGGTAAACATCAGCCATTTCTGCAACAGATTCCTGCAGGGTGCATTCCCAAAATTATATGTACACACAAAGAACAACGTTTACCAGCGACACACACATACGCCCACGTCGAACTCAATGGCATGCAAAATTATAATAAAATTGGTGACTATCATAAAAGATGTAGAGCCGTGCAGTTGAAGGTGGCAGTCACGGTTGGCAGAAGCACTAAAGATATGATTGTCACAACACATATACACCGAAACACGGCACGCCGTTCGAATCGCCGTGAAAATCGACGGCTGACTGAATATTTCACTGACCCCTTGGTAGCCTTCGTTCGTTTCCACAACAAACACTACTTGATGAGTTGTGCATTTGGCTGTTGGCACAGCCGTCGTCCAATTTATACCGCCAGCGCACATTTGTCGATTGGCTCGGCACGTTTACTCAACGTCGTTGCCACCGCTGTGTGCGACATAATCAATAGTTGTGACTTCCATTAATGGGTTTCCGGTGATTCAACATAACCTAAACGCTATGGCCCACAGTACGACGGTAGGTGGCGTGTCAATGCTGAACCCGCTAAAGCGGCGGCTCACAAATTTCTAAAAGCACATGACTTTATTGCGGGTGAATAGGAAGTAAAAATTTGCCTTTCCGTGCCAAACCAGCGACAAACGGTGAGCAGGACACTGACGCGAACACTAAGAGCTCGTCCACTCGCTGTACGGTTGGGCGTGTTAGTGTGCCGTTTATGTGACACAGAGACAGCAGAAAGCGACAAGCGAGTGAGCGGCCGGAAAGTCGGTGATTATTTTAAAATGAGGCGCAGCAATTCTCTGCACTTCACTACACTTGAGGGTATCATTACAATTTGTTGTAAATGGGCCGTTAGGCTGCCTGCAGATAGTTAGATTTGTGTTCTTGTGCGCCATTGTTGTTGTTGACTCTTTGTATTTTCCCTATTACTACAATGATAATGGAGTGTCGCGTGGCAGAAATTTATACTTTTTTTTAGTTCATTTACCATATAATAGCCTATCTCGGTAAAAATGGTCACTTGTTGGTTGTGGAGAGTTTTATTTTTTCTCCACATTTTTTGAAATTGCAAATCACTGTCATGTTTTTGGTAAAAGACTGCAAATAGTTCTTGGGACGGGAAAATTTATATTCATATAACTAGCGCGATAAGCAGCTGTAAATGAAAATGCATAAATTATGAGCTATGAGCTTATAATGGGCTTAGAGTTGGTGGTCATAGTGTTAATATTTGACAGAGTATTGGAAATGTGGGAAACGGTATGGAAAGAGAATTTACAAAATTAATATTATTTTAAAAGCAATAGACTTATATAATATATCATGGGTGAAAAATGCTCAGCTCTCTTAACGAACTGAAAGTAGTATCTTAATTTTTTTTTTTAGAAAAGTATACCACTTTTTCATACGGTTTTTTCACACTACCCATCACTCTCACTTGGCATATGAAATATTGAAAACATTTGATAATAGGGTCAAAAGCAAATATAAATGTAAAGGTGAGTACTAGCGTCCAAAGCAAGTAATGAAGAAATTATGCTGGCTATTTCCAGCCTTCATAAAACTCTTATAAAAATCCATCGGTTCTCAAATGTTACAATCCAGAAATTTAATTATTGCATTATGCCTATCAAAAATGTTGCCGTTTTTACTTACAGAGTGTCTTAGAGTGTAAACAGCAGGAAAAATAGTGCTGAGTGCAATGTAAGAGAATAAGAACAACGAAACGGTTTATTGTAAAAGTAGGCCAAGAGAGAGACTAGAATGGTCTAGTATAAAGTTTGCAATTTTACAGTTCACGCACTGCCGAATAAGACTTCATTAAACATAACAAAACATTTGATTATTATATTGTGGTGACATAATTGTTACAATTCTCAGCTGTTTTATGAAATACTAAAACTTCTTATTCCTCAGATTTGCGCTTTAACTCTCTCAGCACTATTAGACCAAGGCAATTTTTGACAGTTTGAATAATATATTGAAATATTGAAAAAGGCATTATAAGCTGAAGAAAAGAAAAAAAGTTCAAGAGGAAATGAATAAAATAACAATAAAAAGTAAGATTATAAGCTAATGAGAACGTACTTAAGAGAATACAGAGCAGATTAGAAGATTAGAAAATGAGAGAGAAAAGGTTAACTTTATTTACAAAAGAATAAAGTGAGAAAAACAAAATATCATAATAGCAGAATTGTGTCTGGAAAGGACAAGAATATTAGCGTTAAAGAGATTTAGATCAGAAATTAAAGAGAGGGTAATAAAATGTTATAAGGTAGGATGAGTTAACATAAAACACTGGAGAAATTTAGAAAAACAAAAATATGTAATAAAAAATGTGAACTATTATACAAAGCTCGACACAAAAAACAAAGAAAAATATTACTAGGGAATTAAGGTAGCAACTACAATATGCCGTAAAGTTAAATAAAAACCTTTTAAAATATGAAGTAGGACTTAAGAGACGAGTTTGGATAAATAGAGGTCAGCATTTGAAGCACAAAATCTTTGAAGAAAACCACAAATGAAAACAAATCTGAAATTTAAAAAAATTAAACACTTCTCAATAGTGATTTCGTACCAATAAGCCAATTTCCTTCCACCGCTAACAAATTGCCACGCATCCTACACCAACTATAACCGTGTTGCTATTGTTGTTGTACGTATTTCACTTGCCGCAGAGCATCGTAAAAAATATTACGTATGATTTTCTGCTTGATGATGCCTGAAGTTGATAGATAGCAACCGCTGCACAGCCATTTAAACGGCTAAAAGTCAAAAGAGCAATAATAGCAACGACAAGTGCGGTAATAGCAGCAACCATTACAAGGTTGCACACATACACTACTGCCTACTTACATAAAATATAGTATAGCTGATGGCCAATAAATACGCAAGGACACAGCGCAGTTCCGTCGGCGTCGCCCATCGCCCATTATTGTGGTTGATGGTAGTTTTTATGACTGTCACTTTAACAGTTATTGCTGCTGGACATTGCTGCGGGACGTTGAATTGCTGTCGTTGCTGCTGCTACCTTGAATACGTACTTGCGCAGCTGTGAGGTGGTGTGTGTGTGTGTGCGATTACTGGCTGCGAGGACACATTAAGGATGTGGATGATTTAAGTGCGTGGTTATAGCTGCTCGATTTGTAGCGTGGGCAACAAAAACACAAAAAATAACGAGTATTATAATCGCACAACAATAATAATTACAACAATTGCGTGCCGCCTCAGTGTTGTGCATGAAAAGTGCGTGAAAAAGCATTGGCTTGTCTGTGCGTTTTTTGTTTCTCCTTCAACAATTGCCATATATTACGAATATGTTGCAAATTGCTTGTAAAAATTTATTTTATTCCCACTTTTGTTATGGTGTTGCCGAGTGTTGAAAAAATTTCAATTTTTCTACTCTAATTGCCGCATGTTGCCGCGTGGCGCGCGTTTGCTACAAATTTGTCGCAATTTTTGTTATTTGTTGCGTGTGGCATTTTACTTGCCACAAATTATAGTTTTTTGCGCCGATGTTGTTGTTGCTAGTTATGCGCTTTTTTTTTTGAGAAATTTGTAGCCGCAACGATAATAATTGTAAACACGATTTTGTAATTTTTTTGCAGTTGCTGCTTGGGGAACACTGTGTTTTTTTTTATTTTTCATGAATTTTGTATCAGCAGGGTTGCATGTGAAATGGTTTTTAATCTGAATTTAAACTCGGTTTTATGCTTGGGTAATTTTTGCTGGCCATGTGTTACAAATGCGAAATGTGAAATATTAATATTTAAAACATTTTTTTTAACTGAAATTTATATTTTTACATTTTTCATAGTTACACAGTTATATTTATCCCTGTAAAAAGTATGTTTAAATATTTATTTCCAAAATCTCTTGGGACAGAATTTTTTAATGTTGCTTACAACAAGCGCAGTAACTGAATTTTTTTTGAAAATTTTTTATCTCACATTTTGAGGTTAGGTTAAGTTGGAATATTAATTACTTTTAAGTATGTATGTATGTAAGTATACTAAGTATTAATATACATATGTTAAATAATAAATGTTACAGCTGCTTTCTTCTCTCACAAGTTTTTACCAATAAAAGTTCCGAATGGCTCTCTGAATCTAGAAAGAAAAAATTTCCATACCATATGATCTATGTTTTCAATTTTAAAAATTCTCATACATGTATAATATATAGGCTAGTTAAAATAAAGAAGAGTTATTTAGGGGTGATTACTTTGAAGGCGCCAAAATAGCTATTCATGAATAAATAAAAACTTTTTTAAGAAATAAATAAATAATAATAAAAATATGGCAATTGTTATAGAGAGTCAAAGAAAAATTCATAATGAGCTAACTTTTCTACCTTCTTAACGTTCTCTTAGGTTAGGTAAGCAGTTAACACTCATCACCAAGTTGGGGATCGCACTTAGACTTCTATATATATAGTCCTTTGTAAAGCAAAGGCACGACAGTGAAGAAGGAAATGCATGTGTCATCGACAATAATGCTCATACGGCATATGATGCCAGTAAATTGTTACCTGTGATTAGGCCAACAACCATTCTGCAGCCTTTTCGAGACCGTTTGCGTAGAAAATTTGCTTGTTTTTCTTCCGCTGCCTTGCCTACGATCTTGGTGCACCTGCCTGCTCCTAAGGGATTCCATATCACCCTGCTCCGTCCGTCAGCCGTTTCGCAAATTACAGTGTGATCATAAAGCGCGAATTTTTTTTCGGTAGAGATAGAGGATCATATAGACTAATTTCCGACGCTTCAAATAAAATAAAATAAAAATAAAAACATTGGCCCTTTATGCACGTGATGCCACTAGATGTGTATGTAATATAAAATTTTAAACTATCAATAACAGCTACAACAGTAATGATTGCATATTTCCTCCACAAAATTTTTTGTTTTTCTTAGTTGAGAAACCATTAGACCATATTTGTCTACACAATTTTTTTAAAGCAATAAAACAGATGAGCACATGTGTATGCATGTCTGTCAACTACAGTTAACATTATGACACGTAACATTTTTACACGAAATTTAATTTATTTTTTTATTAAGTGACAAATAGTCGAAGCCTTAGTGCCACATCAAAAAAATAAAATAAATAAAATAATAATAACAAAACACAAACTCTAACGCCATTGCTTTAAAATAAATAGACGAAAAAAGAAATTATTTCAGAAAATATTACAAAATCCATTAATCAGTGTCATCAGTTTTTATTTGACCCAATCGTATTGTTCGGCAACATTACATATTGTTGTTGCCACTAGAGTGCTGCTGCTTTTGCCATTGCTTTGATGGCAAGTTTTTATTTGTCAACATTTTGTTATTATGATTTTTTTTTCGTCTACTAGTTTGCGCCTTTCCCCAACTATTGTTGATTATGCGCAACCTGATTTTGTTGCTCGCGCGGCCGAATGTTTATGGTTGCACATAAAAATGCCCTAGAGGCCGCTGAAGTGGCTGAAAAAAAGCATATAATGTTGCACGACAATTTCGAACAAAAAATATTTATTTAGTAGAGCTATATTACATAAACATAAAAGTAAAAAGTAAAATGTGTTTATGTGGCTATGAAAAGTTATGTAATGTTACAGGTTTTGTGGGGCGAAGAAGTGAAATTTTGTTTTAAATTTTTGTAAGTACGCAGCTTTTGTTTTCTCTTTTTACATTTTGCAGTGTAATCAAAACGAGCCATTGATGGGCTGTAAATTTTACCCCAGGGATTTGTTGTAGCGATGTAAGTAGTATGACATTTATATTGGGGCTGTAAGTGTACTTTATTGAAATAGTTTTCCACAAAATAGAATTAAAATCGTGTTGTAATTAATGTTAGGGCAGAATTATAGTATACCTTACAAATACCAAGAAAATAATGTAAATATGTGGCTATAAGTGCTCGTTGATAATAATTATTGCGCTGAAAAGTATGCTTTGAATTCTTGAAATTTGCGGATTTTTGTCATATATTTTCCAATAAGAAAAAGTAGCATACAACTAGGCTCTTTACTTAATATTTTTAGACAAAATTCACCTCAAGGAAATGTTATTAAAGAAACCTTAGACTTTTACACGAAATTGTGTCATATGTATGCAACCTTTGCTGCGTGATAACTGAATGTACTATCCACCAACTTCCGCATTTAACTCATAATCCATATTCGTCGATATCCTTAAGCATCACATATGCTTACGCGCGGATCGAAATTATGTGAAATAGTTGCATACATATTTTCTGTATTAGCTTTCTTGCAAGCTCTGCAGTTTGTCTCAATACAATAGGTAAAATTTCACCAAAGCATTGTTGAATTTTAATTAATGGGTTTTTGTATAAGTCAGTAACGGTAAAAACGGTCTTTACTTTTTCATATCAGTGCAGCAAACAATTTTGTTAAAAAAGAATAAAATAAAACCGCGATTTGTAGACCTGCATTTAAAACTCCTTGACGCCATTAAATTTTGCTTTTAAAAATTTGTAGAGAATCTTTGTAAAAATCCACATGTCGTGAACATCGCCAAAAAAAATTGCTGGAAGGCTAACCATGCGTTGGCCCAAGCGTCATACGAAAACTAGTTCTTGTCTCCTAAATATATGCAATGAAAATGTGATTTACTTGCTTAGAAGCTTGTAATGAGGTTTATCATAGATACATCCAATACAATAAGGGTAAAACTATAATTTCTGCCTCCAATTGACATTGAAATTGATTCAATATTCTCCTATATGTAGGCAAAGCTTTATTAAATTATTAAAATTTATTTATGATTCCATTGCCAGTGATTCAAAATCATCCTATATGTAGGCAAACTTTAGTATATTATTAAATTTTCGCTTAAATTTGTGGTAAGCATATGCTTATATGTACATATATTGTTAATATTAAAACTATATTTCGTGCTAATAATAAAGAAGCGTTGGCTGCTAGAAGTATGCCACCAAACTGTACACAACTTGACGGTGTTTATGCCAATAATTTTATAGTACCCTAAATGTAGGCAACACTTTATTAATTTAATAAAATTTTAATGTAGTACGAGGTACAGGTGCTTGATATAAAGATTTTTGTAATTATATTTTATTGTTAAAAATATAATAAAAGAAGAACATTTCTTACAGTAATTTTTTCTCTAGCAAAAATTAACCTTTACGTTTATTGCTACTGCATAAAAAATGCAATATTGGCTGAAAAATCAAATGCTATTATTATTATAGCACACGAAACAGTGTGTGATAAAATATGTAAAAAAATGTGTGTTAAAAAGAAATATGTAAATTTGTATACATTTATACAGTATGGCATATACATATGCCTGAATATGAAAATCGCGCTGCGCATAAATATTTGAGTCGTTATTGATACTGTTAAAAATTCCATTTACCACTATTAAACAAATTCTTTGCCGGCAACTACAACACAAACAAAACGCACATATGCACGGAAAATGTATTTTAATTAAAACTTTGCACACTCACAAAAATGCCAAAAGGTGCTAGCGTGTCAGTCAGTGGGCAAAAAAAGCCAAGCAGCGGCACAAAATATGGAAAATATGAATGTACAGCCAAGCAACAAAAAATGGATGAAGAAATGTAGCATATGAAATTCCGCATTGATTAAAACACACACATGCAAATTTACAGTTATTTACAAACAAATATGCATATATAGATATTTGTAAGTTTTGGATTGGGTAACAAATACAATACAACAAAAATAAAATAAATAAATAAAAGCGATGGGGGGTCAACTTGATAATCGGTAAGGGGCGGTAAAGCGCAGAAAATAGTTTCGCTGAAAAAAATTTGTAATGCCGATGCCAGTGACGGTACGCGGTCCACACTCAGGAGTCTTTTGCCAGTGTTGTTTTTTGTAAATCTTTATAAAGCGGTTATTTTGGTACAAATAATTTTTTTTTTTTATGATTTGCTGACATATTTACACCACACACACAGCGCAATATATTGACACACGCTCGGCATGCATATCAATATATTTTTACTCCTTTTTTCGGCGGCGCATTGAGCTTACACGACTGGCAGTCTGTGAAATGCAATAAATAAAAATCATAAAGTTTCCACTTTCATGAATATTAATAATCAACAAATTTTCTGCATACAAACACAACAAAAATACACGAAACGTGTCAATGTTTTCATAATGCACTCATACATATTTATTTGTATACACTTGTATACATGTATATACATATATGTGTGTGTGTGTGTATTTACAATGCAATGTTGCGCAAATAATGCGCGCCATCACAACTCACTACTGCATGCAACAAGGCAACTCGACTTTATGCCACTTCAACACGATGGGTCCACCATTCAATTGAACGCGCGCTTCAATCCGCAGCGCCGTCTTCATTGCAGTAAATGCTTTAGTTTGGTAAGCAACTCACTGGCGCTGCAGCCGGGCAGCAGACGGCGCTGAATATTTCATTGAAAGGGAGCAAATGAGTAACTTTGTTTATGTGGAAGTAGCAAGTTCTGATTGAAGTTGCCCGCTTCGTGGTCAGTTTGTTATTTCGAGTGGTTATTCATATTTATATCGACTTGTGGTCGCTTGGCGTTGATTATTTCAGACATATCTGCATATGCAGAAAGTATTTACGCTTCTTGTTTGCATAAAGGAAATGTAAAATTTTAAATTGAATTCCTCAAGGAATGCCAAATAAAGTCCTATTCGAGCATGAATGAAAAATTTTTTATATAAAAACCAAATTAAAAATGTTTATGTGAGTGAAATTCAAAAACATTAATATAATTTTGTCAGCAGTTTGTAAAAAATGCATATATGCATTTAAATTAATAAAATTTCTAAGAGCACTCTTTGAAACAAAACTTAGACGCAAAAAGTTTGTAAATAACTCAATACCTCACGCCATCTTTTATCTAAAGAGTTCAGAAAGTAATAGTCTTCAGCTCCCCTTTCTACACTACTTACTTCTACTGAAACTAACGCTAACCAACCAGAATTCCGGTCTAGAGCTACGCTTAGAGGGTCAGCTTTCTAGTCTTCGAACAAATACTCCGGTTGTATATGGAGATATCCGAGAGCAAATAAAAAATTTGTAGAAAAGACTCTCTCCCTAAAGCTTGAGAAAAGTTACTTTTACAATATTAACCGCATAAAGTTGTCGAAAAAACAATCAACCTTAGAACGTGCTTCTTGAATTCGAGTAAAACCATGTTTTTTTTTTTCAAAAATATTATATAAATAAATATCTTTCAGTTAGTGATAAAACAATGGTGAACCCCGAAAACAAATGAAATTTTGCTGGTGAGTCAATATGACCCCCTGCTATTTGTGGTGCTAAGTTTTTTCAAAGAAAGTTATACACTATCTTTATAACAAAACTTATGTTGGCGAATTCAACAAGAAGAATATTCTGTGAAGGAATAGAAAGCATTGAGGCAAAGAAGAGTACTCACCTACCTTTGACATTCAAGGTGATATGTGTGAAAGCCCAGTATCCTTATCTTATAATATAAAATGTAGGCAACGATATATATTGGAGTAATAAATACTTATGCGAGTTTATTGTCTCGAACTTTTTAAACCTAAAAATAAAAAAATGGTAATAAAAATTGGTAAAAAATGCCGTCATAAGTATTTACATGTGTGTAGTATATAAAAATTGTTGGGCTTACAGCTGAAATCTATTAATAAAGCATATGCAGCGCTAAGTTTACTGTTACTTTATTTCTTACTTTAACAAATTCGGCATTAACCCTTAGATAGCACATATTATATTATATTACATATTACATATTACAAAAAAAAAAAAAAAACTATTTATATATTAACTTTTGCTTTAAGCATAGCTACACTCATATACCTGTGCACCGTCCACAATTTCAAATTGAAAAAAAAAATCAGGAAAAAAAATATAAAAAAATAAAATAAAACCATCAAAAAAAAAATTCTGAAAAAAATTAAAATAAAACAAATAATAAAACCATACAGATAAGTCCAAAGTAAAATTTCATATGCATAGCGGAACTTCCAAATGACCTGTGCCAAATTCAACAAAAACTGCAAGCCACACAAATTTAGTCGCTCCTAAAACAACCCACATATGTACATCTGTTACTAAAAGTTCAACACGAAAAAGTCCAAACTTTCGCCAAAAGCCAGTGCACTTAGTTCACGTTGGAAAAAACGCCACTTGTTCGCACTGTGTCAAAGTTGTTGCATAAATATTTGCACGAAAACAGACATATGATTATAAATATATGCAGTGTATATACAATATATATATTTATATATTTAGAGTATATATCTATATTACTACGAGTTTAGCAAAAATGTGTTGGCTATGAATTTCGCATTTAGTTATTCCCCTGTCACTGACTGCATTTGCTACTCTACTTTTCGCCAGCAAACTATTTTCTTTTTTTGTTTTTTGCTGGTCATTCAATTAAAATACATGCAGTATTCAGTGAGTTAGTTAGTTAGTCAGTCACCTTTGCATGTGCTAAGTATGTATGTGTTGAAAGTGCACACGTGGCAGCAACACCTTTTGATGAGTTTAGTTAAAATTGCAAGAGATTTGCATATGATAACCCGTACGCTGGCTGGAAATGTTAATGTTGAGAGTGTGAGTGTATAAATGTAATGAATATTTAACTAAAAATACGCTCATTTTGTTATGCAAAGGTTTTGAAGAGTTCTGACCGCAACTATTATAACTGAAGGCTGATGAGTTTAGCTTATGGTACACGAGCGATTTTTAAGCTTGCCTATTTTTAAGGTACTGTCTGTGAAATGAATGTCTCTTTTATATGCAAAATCGATTCTAAGTATATAAACAGACAGTGCTGACGATTAATTTGGAACAAATGCAGTTTTTTCGAAATTGCTTATTCCCCGGTATGCTCATAATTTTTCATTTCATGAAAATTCCAAGACTATATACATTGTCTTTACCTTGTCCATGTCTTTAATAATAAATCCAACCAGAGCCTTTTTTTCATGAGACCGCTATATTAGATAACTTACGTTGGAATATTTTATGCTAGTGTATAAGACAACCATAGTTCCACATACTATTTGTTGAGTAGCAGCAATAGGTAATAAATTAGGCGAAGGGTGCATGCAAGTGTACATATACATATATAAACAAATATATAGGATATACATTTTTCAAACATTGCTCGATCCCCTATTGAACATATTTGAGGTCTTTCGACCTTTTGTATTCCATACAGCTTCCAGTTCAGTTTATTCTATAAAAGTATATACATTCGAGTTAAAAATCTAAACATATTAGCATCAAACAGTGACTTAACTTTTCCTAGTATAATCATCTTTCTATATTACAAAATATGTCTAAATAGCTAACATAAATGTGAACTAAATAGCTTCTACAATATTGTTTTGACAGCGTCATCTGTCGTATTGATTTTATGCATTTTGCAAGCAAAATTTTCTTTTTATATAATATATGGTAAAGCATATATAATTTTAACTAATCATTTTTCATCTTAAACTACTTTTATAGCTGCTAGAAGACTGCTAGCTTCCATTCTCTGTTTGCTTAGCCAAACAGCAGCGCCGTCTGCATAATTTCTACTGATATTTTCTAAATAGTGGAACGCATAAAAGCCATCTTAGCATATATTTCAAGCATTTAAAAGCACGCATACACAATATTTATATAGCAATGAAAGCGCTGATCGATCGCTTTATATATCGATATGTGTGTATGCCTGTGTGACTACCACAAGTGGCAATAAATTTAAATCAAATGTCACGACACAACTTTTCAACGCATAAGCGCTTTTTTTTCAACGCCATAAATTTCTTGCTTTTGCAAAAAAAAAAACGAAAATGATAAATTTCTTGCAACACTTCAATGCAATGAGTATTTGCGCTTGCGGTTATCAATTTTGAATGACAGAAAAACGCATTGAAAAGCGCCGAGAATACGCGGGTGAGCGAGCAGTGTAACGGTTGAGCACTCTGTTGAAGCAGACAACAATGTGTGACGCTGCTTGACACGTACTCTTCCTCAACTATTATTACCGCTACTTTTTTTTTGGAGAATTTTCCGCACAATCACACACATGCATACAGCGATGAAATTGCAAATGCAATATATGCGAAAAGTGGTGCTGGTGATTTTTGTCGAGCGTGCAAATAGAATATCGAGCTGCAATGACAGCAAAGTAGTGCAAATACTCGTAGTAGACGCATAAAAATGTCAAACAATAATAAAACGGAAAGCAAGAAAGCAGCACGGTGAAGCAAGTAGCGGGCATGAGCGAAAAAAAGGCAACGCTGCAGTGGTGGCAAAGACACAGAATGCACGGGCGGGTGTGTGTGAACACGAAATAACGCCGAAAATATGAAAGACGAAAATGTGTCTTAGGTAGGCGGCAAAGTAGTAGTGCAAACTGCAGTAAGTGGTGGCAAGTGGCGAAATGCTTAGTTGTAGCGCAGTACTGCTTCAAAAGTTACGTATACGCCATGGAGTGCAGGCAGTGTGAGCAAACTATGAAGAAAGCATTGTTTGTGCGTGCGTGCATGTGTGAGCATGTGAGGTAACGTCTGGTCGGATATCGAATTCACCTATTTATGAGCATGTAAAAAACACACATACACATATATGCGCGTTCGTGTGTTTGTGTGTATATGTGTATATGTGTGACCATGCAACACTTGTCTGCTGTGCAGTGAAATTTTCATATAATTCTATTTCTCCACAGCTTTGCTTCATTTTTCAAACTTTCTTAGCTTTTCTTGTCGTTCTGGTCGCTGTTGTTGTTGTTGTTGCCACGCCATGTGTGCACAGCAACGTAATGCGAAAAGTGAAAAGCCAAGTGTAAGCAAGCAAACCAAGCCAAAAGCAAGCAGACAACTGCGTGGTAATGGGAAATTCATGGCATCATGAATAAGGGAAATTGAAAAGCAATAAAATGGAAAATAACAAATGCAAACAAAAACAACAGAAATTGTCGAAATTGCCAAAATTGCAATAACAACAAATACCAAATAGCAAATACTCGTAGCGGAAAGCAAAATAATATGAAAATGTGGCAAAAATAAAATAAAAGAAAAATACAAATAAATAAAAAAAAATATATATATTTTTGAACATTTTCAGCGCGTGAAATTCGAAAGCAAATGTGAAATTGAAAAGGCGCAACACATGATCGTGTATTTGACTGTGTGTGTGTGTTATGTGTGTTTATAGTGTATGCGTATGTGCAACATTTTGCTGAATGGCTGCATTATTAAATCAATGGCATATTTATGTAAAAAAATATTCACCACGAAATTCCTAATAATAACGAATATGAAAAGGAAATTATTTGTTTACTTTCTGAAGTGGTAGTAGAAAATGGTTGTGTGGAATATATAGTGGAGAGCGATTATCGTCAAAATTTCAGCGAGTAACTGTGCTTAGTAGTAGCGAACTTTGCGTTAAGCATATAATTTGGAAATATATATCCATATATGCTTCCATAGTTTTTTTTTCCAATTTTTTCTTAATGTTCTTTCATGAAAAATGTTCACTCTGAAATGAAATAGGTGCTGTCTGGGTTGACATGCCAATAATACCTTGCCACAAAATACCCATATTTTGTTGCACACATCCCAGCACTCAATAAGTATGACTGACATGCTGGGGAAATTGCCTTTCTTGTAAGTGAAGTGAGTAGGTGTGGTCGTGCGACTCAAACAAAGCATCAAAATGGTAAAAAATGAGCACACAATAAGTAAGAGAAGATAAATGAGCTAGAAATGTAGAGCAACTGTGGCGTAGACAAGAAAAGACGTTGCAATGTGTATGAGTGATGTGTATAACAATAACAATAAAAATATGTGGATATGAAAAACTTTGTATACATACATACCTCTATATCATGACAATATTCTATGTACTTTAGATATTTGCTGACGTGTGGTGAAAGGTGGCAGCTCTATATATATTTACACATATTAGGCAATATTCAATGTTATTAGCGTATAATATGTTTTTAAAATATATTATATAATACTGCATATAATTATGTATAACTTTAGAATATTTTTGGCTAAGTGGCAACCCTATTAAAAAATCATAAGATATACACGTTATAATATTATTTTTCAATGCAGTTTTTTTTGGATTTGGTGGCTTTTGTTTAAAATTCAAACGGAGTTGGCAACCCTATATTTTTTTTTTTTTGAAAATGTAAGTTAAAACAACCCTGAAACCGAAAGTATTAGATTAAAAATATCATAAAATTTTATCACTATAAACGTGGAATCTTGCGTTGGGGTCATACACACATACTTGTACATACATTAAGACCAAAAACTTGTTCAATACCGTCGATCAACCTGCGGATTTGGAACCCGTTTAGACTAGATTGAGGACGTAAAAGAAAATTCACAGAGCTACCTGAAGGCGATCCCGTACAGCGATTACAAGTTTTTTTTAGATGATTGAAAAAAGAGATGGCATATGTGTATTGCTTTAGAAGGAGCATATTTTAAAGGCTTCAAAATAAATATTGATGAATATTAAAAAATTTGTATTTGCAATTTCTGGAAACTTTCTGGTCTTAAT